CCCCTTTCCCGTCACTAGCAATTCAGCAGTCAGCGCCAGCTAATCTGATTTGAGTCAGTCTTTTGGGGATGAGAAGCCGCCTGCTGCTCCTTGCACAGGGGGAGAATCGGTTTTTAAAAGACGCTCAAGTGTTTTTGGCAGGTCCACCATTCCCTGTGTCCATGTACAGGGGATTGCCAGAGCATTCTGGCTTTGCACTGCTGCTTGGGAGTCGCGCTTGGCTCTACCGGCAGACCTGACGGAGTTGACAGAAATCAAATAAGGTTTTGCTGCAGGTGTCTGAAGTCCTAACTGTAATGCCCAGTAGCTGTGGCGGTAACAGGCCAAGTCCTTTCTTCTCTTGCTCTTCAAAGGCAGGTGCTTTGGGGGGAGTAAAGATCAGGATTGTGTGTTCCCCCAAGCAATAGAGCGTTACCTCACGTCAGCTTGGGGAAGAGTCCTTGCTTTTTAATTTCAAATCTGTTTCAATAGGGGAGAGAGGAAGGTGCATTTGATCTTTGCAACACTTTCACTGTCACTGAGTGTGGGGCTGTTTATAGAGGCCCAGGGTGAGATGGCAAACCTTAGCCAGGCAGTGAGTGTGGGTAGGAATTCAGGTTAGCTTATTATGATTGATGAAGCCTGTAGCTTCACACAATAAAGGCCCGTGCAGCCCTGGATATAGGAGAAGTGAGGGACACACTAAAGACCTGATTAATTAATCATCGTGTTACTGATCAATCTAAGCCTCTCTTCAATTATTTAATCATAATGAGTCCTTTTCGCCCCACGTTTTAATATTAATTGATGGGCCTTGTAATTCTCCTAGGTAGCTTTGACATCTCTTTTTAACACTTACTGGAAAATGAATTAATTGTCACCTAATCTGATCCCATTTCAAGTGTTAACATTTCATCAGCACTTATCAAAAAGGCAGTTATTGGAGGTAAGATGTTATGACAAAGGTAGGGCTTGTAGCAGAGGGCAATTAGCGCTGGTGTTGATAAGAGTGTGGAAGGAACTCTGGGACATTCTGGGTCTAATTTTTGCCCCAGGCTTACTTAATACCCTACCCAAGAGTAGTGCTGTTTAATGAGGAAATAGCAGGCACTATTCAATGAGGAGAAATGCGTAGCTTTTCACATCTCACCTGGATTGCCACTTAGCTGTGGCATTTAAGTGTGACTTAATAAAACGAATCTTAGCTCCGATGTATTGACTTAGCCAGGACTCCAGAACTTTAAAGGTCAGTGACTATATTGGTTTATTTTGGCCACTTCATTCCTTATTCACACATCGTCACAACTGATGCACTTTTTTAACTCAATAAGTTTTGTTTCCATTATATAAGATCCAGTAACCAATAAGAATGATGTTCCTGAAGATATGACTTAGTTATGCTTAAAAAAGAAAACATACATAATGAAGGACTTGAGTTTTTAATAAAGGAAAATGAACATCTGTGCATCAGGTTTCCACTGTAATCATCATTTAAAGGCCATACAAGGCGAGACTTTTCTATCAGGACTGTGTTTATTTATTGATCTGAATACTTTGTTCAAATCAGCAGAGCAAACCACTTTCGTCCAACAAAATCCTGAGTGATTTACCAAACATGTGAAAGATCAATTTAAAGAAACCAACCCTACAGTACGTGTTTGACCTTTCTGTCCTGTGCCCCAAATATTATCCATCTTTGTCTATTTCTTCCATTTAAAAAAATGGCTACAAAAACCATGTCTAACCATACTGCCATTATTTTAAGTGAGTAAATGTTGATACAATAGACCTTCTGTTCTGGCTTGTCCAAAGCCAATGTTGAGTCTACAGTGTGTATCCTAGCAACACAAGGTTTCAACCATATTAGCACTGGAAAAAAAAACACTTTTTCACACACTTGAAATGCAAAAAGACAATGAGAACATTCGAAGCCACATTTTTATTGGCATCCAACTCCTGTTGCCTTAAGAACCTTAGGACTGTGATGTATTTCTATCAGCATTTTATTTACAGCCATTATTGTGCAATCATCCAGTCAGAAGCATTGAAATTGAACCTCTCATTAGAACAGTAAAGGGTCCAGTCACAGAGAGAAATCTGGATTACATGCATTGACAGAGCTGTTAGAGGTGGCGCGTTTGTGCATTCAGGGTGCATCAGTGTTTTTAGATCTTTCATATAACAATTCCCATTTTTATAACAAAAGTTCCATATTTGAGAGAGAGTGGGTTTTTGATCTCAGCTTTGATAAAGCAAAAACAATTCGTGAAATGAGCATTAAACGCGTCTTGAATATACTGATTCCTTCGCAGTCCTTATTTCAAATTTAGCTCTAGCCTTGAAAAGTTATTGTATTTCCTCATATTGACAAGCTCTGACCCCAGGCCTCTCTCCCTGTCTGTGTGTCTCATGGAGAGCAAGCTGGGGTGTGCAAATAGACAAATTCCTAATATAAGAAATTGTATACGGGCAATAAAGTGATCTTACAGGGCGGTGCAGTGGCTCTGAGGCTCAGGATCCGCGCCTGTGGCTGGAAGATTGCAGGTTCAAATTCCACGGCCGGCAGAGGAATCCTACACTGGGCCCCTGAGCAAGGCCCTTAACCCCAACT